TGTTCCTTCTGATATTCACCCTAAATTTACCCGATACTTACCTGAAAAATGCCAACCCGATAGTTCCATAAATAGTTCCTGATACGCGCCAAGAACCGGTTAGACATCATGCAGAGTCATCAGACTTCTTTCAGACTGGATCCAGTGAAAAAAAAGGGCTATCAGGTGATCAATGATCACCTGATAGCCCTTCATTCGACCTGTGTGAGTGTGGCCAACCATTCCTCTAGTAGCGAAAGTTCTTATCTGATTCATCTCTCGAAGAAAATAGGAACCGCTTTAAGCGTGTTTTTAATTTGGTAAAGGAAGTGGGGGATACTATGGATTATGCGTTTGAAACTGTTAGACGTGAAATTCGTCAACTTACTGGGGAAAAGATTGGGAAAGGAACTGTAAAAAATTTTTATTATGGCGAAGGATATCCAAAGTTTAGAATAGTAATGTCAATTATGAGATGGGTAGATAGTAAAGAATTTAGTGGTAGTGTAAATAATATGGGGTAGTGAGAAGGAACCGCCATTTTTACAATGTAAAAGGCCTAGGAGCCGGCGTGATTCCTTCCTTTAAACGTGATCTACTCCAATATATTACATAATAAATAAAAAAAAATATGTTATCGATTTATTTTTAAATGTATGGGACATTTCAAAGTAAGGATTCCTTAATCCTCATAAAATTTTATTTAAAAATAATGCTATTGGATACATAATATGAGTTAAAAATTTAAGCACAGTCAATTCGAACTATTATATTATAAAGGAATAATTAGAAAATTAACATGACAAATAAATCACAAAAACTTTGACGTGTACCTGGGATTATAAATATATTCAGATAATGGTTTAGTAGAAGTATTAGCAGAAGTATTAGCAATTGGATAATCAGTTGGAAGTCGTTCGTCAAGATTGATAGGAGTGTGTTATCTTGGGCACTGACCTCATCGTTTACAAATGGCTCATCCAAATGGTTAGACTGTTTTGCTAACTGCGATGTAGTACATTTACCAATGCGTAGTACTTCAGTGTAACAGTGGACATAAATAGTCAAAAAAACCACAAAAGCAGTTAAGTTTCGTGCTTTATTTCTTCCTTTAAACGTGATCTACTCCAATTAGTTTCATTTTTTTACTTAGCCAACCGGCCCCCTTTTTCACAAAAAATATAATAAAGAGTTTATTTTTAATTAAACGTATTAGCGTGTTTTATGTTTATACTACAAATTCTCAAATATAAATTTTGTGTTCGCTTATCAATAAAATAATTAGCTCGATAATCTCTTAGGTGAGATAAATATTGCAATCAGATTTTTCATTTATTTTCAATTTTTAAGATTTCATTTGAATTTAGATTTATGGGACCGGTATAATCATTGCCATTTTTAAGATTTCATTTGAATACGCGAAAACATTAATAATTTCACATGATGCAAGGCCCTAAAATTAGAATTTTCATTTTGTTTGATATTTTGCCTTCATCTCACTATTGACATTTGGCGTTACAGATAATCAGATTCAAATTTGATATAAATAAATCATACAAACACAGCTAATTAAATATAATAATAATTCTCAAATTAAATATGATCCTTACCAGACCAAGTTTTGATACTGTAGCTAGGTTTAATGAATTGCCTAGTCTTTGGGAAGCTATTGAAGCAAGAAAGAAACAAGTTACTGAGGAGACTTTTAAGACTTTAGGACAACTCTTCGTGGACTATCATATTGAAAATATTTTTGGCCTTGCTCTTTTGCATAACCATTTTTTGCTTGAAGAAGGCGAGATTTTACTTGGGACCGGTTCATTATCTGATGAACAACAAAAAGTAATTAGCCAACCAATTAAAAGCGACAAATTGACTTCTCCTGTTCAAGGATCTAATTGGAGAATTACTCCGGATAATTTATACGTACCTTATGAATTTAGACTTGAAGACGATCATAAGGTAAATAGTTACCTTTTATCATATTTTGATTTCAACCTCATACTTACCTTTCATTCCAATTCTTCATTGCATCCATTATACCTAAAGAAAATAGACTTCTCCTCTTCTGAAATTCAGTCGTTTCTTGAAGAATTTTCAAGAAAGTTAAATGAACTCGACTTAGCAAATGTTTTTGCCATATGTGCTATTGATACCGATAGTTTTCTTCCTGGAATTGAAAAAACTGAAGAAAGAAAGAATATTACAGTTCCTCTTACTGATTCGGATAAACCTGATGATCAATTTGAAGCAGTTTGGAATTTTAAGCATGGTCCTAAAAAACCAATTGAACGAGGATGTTCTAATTATTGCCAACCATTTGAAAACGGCAAGCATGGTAAATTTCATAGACGGACGAAATAATTCCTCAACTCCTGCATGTGATAAATATATATATTTTTTTTGTTTATTGCGTCTGTGGACATATACTTAATAAAGCATTTTATAAAGTTTTGCCCATATTGGGCTAGTGATTTTTAACCAATGTATTATTTACTCTACATGCGTTAACGATCACTGCTAAATATATGCTACTTTGTAACCTTTTTTTTAAACTGTGTATCCTTATAAATGCTGTGTAACTGCTTATCGAATACCATCTGTGATTTGAGTTGCGGGAAGATTGCGAGGAAGTTCCGGGAACTGTCTGGGAGCCAGGGTGATACAAATTTTTATGTTTTACATCATTCAAAGCGCCTCCTGTTAATCACGAGAGATCCACACCACATGTAAATATAAATTAGCTTAGCCGAGTTATAAATTCCCAATATGAATAAAAATGAATTTGGATTTACTAGCATGTAGTCTCACAAATCGGCTACAAATCAATTAACCGTATAAATTTGAATGATGATATTATCTAGTATAAGTTGCTAAAGAATTACTAGAATTCACTAAAAATGCTATAAATCGTTAAATATGTCAGGAACTCATATTAACAGACCTAGGCCTAGGTTGGGAGAAAAGCTCTAGATGAAGATGATTAATTTTAGCTTCTTCTCATAATATGTATTGTTTATATTGCTAGATCTGAAATTCCCTATTATCGATAGATTTGAGAATCTCTTTTCTTCTTGCATGTTCATTCGAAATAGTATTTCCAGAAATACATCTTTTCAAGTGGCCATCATGATAGAGACGAGTTCTATAAACAATTCCAGGTATGAAAACTAAGGAGTCACATACACTACAATATATATAATCAGTTGGATGAGTATGGACTTTATCATTTTCGTATAATTTTTCATACATTATAATATATCCATTCTTAGAAAGGATTCTTAGATTCTCTTCAAGTATTTTCCTAAATGGATCACGGATACGAGAGCACCACATTTCTGGTGTTTCATGATCACGTCTTCCTGCTAAAGGGCTTAATGCATTAACTATTCTTATATATTCTTCAGAACCTCCATGAGTATTGTGTTCACAAATTAGTTTAGAATAGCCTCTACTATCTAAATCCATATTTAGAATTATATATATCAAATAATCAGTTTGTAATGATTTTAGCGATTAAGAGATTTATAGAGATTTGTAACAACTATATTATAATAAAATATCATTCATTTTTATTCGATTACAAGCATATGGGGCATTTATATAGGGTCATCTCTTGGCTAAGCTAATTTTATATTTACATGCATATGCACAATACATTCGGTTAAAACAGGGTTACAGCATATATAGTATCACATGTATTACCCTAGCTCCCTGCAGGAACTGGCGAGTTTCTATAAATCACGAGATGATCGGCCAATCAGATTTTGCGCAGTAGCTAAGAGAATATTTTTTCTGATGGTAGAGTCTCCAGGCTCAGCAAATTATTTTCCATGATGTTTGGCAATCAGTTATACACATTTTAAAAAATAAACCCCTGATATGGGCGGGATATGCAAATGCTTTATTATATGTTTGAGAATACACGTGAACGAAATTCTATTTTTTCTGGTGGTAGGCTCGACTTAATTGCGCAGAAGAAATGGCGCAGTACCTTCGGGATAATCTAAACGTTTTGGAAAATTATTTTCCGTGATGTTCGGCAAAAAGTACTTTATATTATATTTAGCAGTGATCATTGATGCATGTCAGACACTTTAAAAAATAATAAACCTGATGTGTTAATTTTAGTGAGACTGTGACACAATTTCATTGCATCATCATTACGTGAGAGACACTTTTTTCATGCAAATAGTGAATAGGAATGCTTTATTAGAAATAGCGTGAAAATATTAGTGTTACAGTTATACATGACTATAACAATCTATTTCTAATCCAATTATAACGATAATGATAGAAAGCTATCAAACCCTTTTATTTTTACCTTTTTGATCTGACGCTGATGGTTCAGAACCCCCTTTTTTTTGACGAACCTCCGGCTGATGATGAACCTCTGACTGATGATAACCCTATGGCTGGTAATGATGGCAAGAGGTTTGTTCTACTGAATCCATTTAAATCAATCCTCAAAGCATATTGTTTGACGTGTTGTCTAATCCAAGTTGACAACCTCCGGGCATTATCTTCTTTAGTAGTAATAAATCCCTGCTTTTGATAACGATCATATAGCTGTGCCGGTACAACAAAATAAAAGGAAATTTCTGTATCCTTTGTTAACTTATCATAAAGTTTATTCAAACCAACCATCTTAATTGGATGCGTCATAGAAGTGGTCATTTGTAAAAGAACATCGGGAGCACAAAGCGCATCAATTGTAGGAAAATTTTTAATTTCCGGCTGATAGTACTTTTGATCTTCGATGTCTTCAATTTTAGAAAATATGAGTATATTTTCTTGCTTAGCAAACGGTTGAAATAGATTATTTTCATTTTGACAATCAGGTTCCAAAGAACGAACTTGAAATTTTCCTCCTCCTCGCAATATTCGGTGAGCAATCTGCTCAAAACAGGTTCCCAAGAATTGATCGCTTGTACCCGTTAACAAACTTACTTCAATATCTCTGAACAATTTCCCCATTAATTTTTGTTTGTATTTCTCAGTCACTAATGTAGCCACATAATTAGATGCAAAATAATACAATTGCTGTGTATATGGAATTTCTTCGATGTATGTAACTTCTACATCAACACTCCCATTCGTAGTGATTGCCTTCTCCTCGGTAGGGAGGTTTGTCCAAAGATGAATGAGGCAATGGCTTATTTCCGGACTAGCATCATGTCCGCCAATGTAATCAAATATCTTATCACCACATACTTCAATAGCATTTATGAGCTTTATTTGATGACCACGTTCATCATCGGTTTGCTCCAGAATAAACCTAGGGATCCCTCCCCACATGGAAAATAATCTATTAGCCTTCTCTTCTTCGATATCAGAGAACATCTCACTCCTGCATGTATGAATCTCATTCAAAGTCCATTCTGGCATGTACCGTATTATTGCTAAGGGATATTTATCAAAGTTCGAATAATGAGACTTTCTGGGCGAACAGACGAGAATCGTTTTAGCTTCAACTTCCTTTGGTTCCATTCCATCCACGATGTACAAAACATCTCTTCTGGACTGGTATGAATACTGAATGGTATCGTTAGAAGTAAGGAAGGCTTCTTCTCCATCAAAAACGTACGAAAATTTACTAGTAATACTTTCATATATAATACTTCTTCCATTTCGTGCAAACAGATATAGTAGATAAAATCCGAAGTATGTTTTTCCTATTCCCGGATTACCTGTGACACGTATTCTTCGTACTTCATCATTAATGACGACATCAGCAAGATCTCGGTAACAATTACGGATGAGCAAAGTTGAAGGTCTATCTGAAATTCCTAAAATATGGACGTCAACGGGCAGTCTAAGAAACAAATCCTTTTGATTTTCTTGATCAATTTCTAAAGCCTTTATTGCATTCCAATATCTAACCAGACCATCATTCTGGATTTTATTTCTGGAAGTCTCTGCATAATAGAAATGAATTAATAGTAAAAGAAGAGTGTAATATTTATTAAACATATTACGGTGTAAAGAAAAATATGAAGCAACAACGGTTATTAAAGTCAAGCCAAGACGTGTGTTGACCAAAATTATTACGACTCACTTACCAGCAACCGGCTGCTCTACGATAACGCGAATGTGTTTTTTGGGCGGGTTTGACGATGAGAAGCAGGAAAGAAAAGCACAAGAATAAGTAAGCATTCGGTATTATAGGATTATAAGACATGGTGTGAGCAAGAGAATGTAACATACCAGATTCAGACTTAGACTTCTTCGATAACCTCCTCAAATATTTAAGCTTAGCGCTATTTGTTGGTAAGCGATTACATAAGTTGTCCACCTCAGCTAACATAGTTTCATTGCCGGTGAGAAAAAAGTATAAATCAACCTCCTCATCCTCGTCTAATTTATCAGGCTCTTCAGAAAGACTTTGGACGATGTTAGCAATATTATCAAGTGACATTATTTTTAGCTGTTATTTATTTTTGCGTAAAAAAATGGGTTCACAAGTTGTTCGAAAAAAGAAGTGATATATTATTTATACTATATATTATTTATACTATATATATGGGCGCTTGTCAATAAAAAAGGGGGAAATCTAGAGTTTAAATCTAACTTAAAATGTTGAGAAAATCGTGTTTTTGAAATAAATGCGTCTTGATCAGCATGATGCATACAATCATGAATAAACTTTGTCAGTAGAAAGGGGGGGAAATCTAAAAAAGTTTTTATTGGTCAAATTTAAATCGATTATTATTCCAATTTTCTCTCTGTAATTCTGAACCTAATTATACTTGCATAAAATTTAAAATGCTTAAAAAAAACATAGCCATTTTTAATATGATAAGGAGTAAATGGAATAATTGAAAGTGACAAATTAATTCTATTATGAATTTGGATTATATTTTCCAAAGTGCGTTAAATAAAATATAGAATAAAGTTTGACATACAATTTAGTCCTTATACATTGACATTACCGTTTAACGCTAATGGGAATATTGGCATCATATAACATATATGCGTAATGTTATACCAATAAAAATTTTATTAAAAACCTAGTAGTTAGTTCGCAGATTTCAAACAATTATGACTGAACTAACCAAGTATGTATAAATCTTATAGTAATCAATTTTTATTAAAAAAAATCAATAAAATTTTATAAATTTTTATTAGTTGTGAATTTTTTTTGGTTTTGGTACTTGAGGCTCATAACAGAATTCATCCTTTTTAGAAGAATCGTGAATGTGTTCCCAAACTTGCTCATAAAGGTACCATTGTCGTTCTGCACTTAATACCTTTGCCACAATTTTCTTGGGAAAACTTGAAATAACTGAAGGTTTATTTTTTTTCATAATATTTATCGTTGACTTGTCTCCATTAATTTCACATTGTAATTCAATTACTCCAAT